CCCCCCCCCCCCAGAAGCTTCCCCTGGGACATTTCACCTCCTCCGCCCCCCAGGTGCCAGCTGGTCCCTGTATGGCCAGTGATCCTCTTTAATGGATGGGGGGGACCATCAGCTCTTGAAGAGCTTGGAATGTGGGGGGAGAGCCTTGAGGGTCCCCCAGCGGTGCCGGATAGGAGACGTGCCTGAGTGTTGCCTTTGGCCGCCATAGCACATTGCCACAAGTTTATTCCCTGGCCGCTCTAAGGCCAGAAGTCAACGATGGTTGTCACTGGCCAAAATCAAGGTGTTGGCCAGGCAGTGCTCCCTCCAGACGCTCCAGGGGAGGACGCTTTGCCTGCTGTACCTTTATGGAACAGGACTTCAGACAGGGTAGAGGTCCTGACTTCACTGTGGACTGACTGCTGTTGACATGGTTGCTGTTACTCTTGTATTCGTTCGGGTATTTCCCACTTTACACAGAAGGGCAGCGCGGCCCAGAGGGGCGATGTCCCCTGCTCCGGGTCCCAGCACGTGTTGGATCTGGGCTTCCTGCTCAGCCCGCCCATCTCTGGCACCCACGTTCCCGAGCACCCACCAATGCTGCCTCTCATGTGCCTGCCACCGCCGCAGAAGGGCAGGGGGGTGGGGGGGACCAGCTGTCCCCTTGACCTTGACATCAGAGCAGGGAGCTGCATTCCAGTCTGGCAGGGCGCTTGAGAATGTGAGGGGGACACTGGGGCGTGGAGGGCGTCGTTCCTGTTCTGTGGCGGTCCGAGCCTCAATCAGAGGAGCAGGCCTGCCTCTCATAGCACGTGCTCAGTTGGCCTCAGCGCCCTGGACTGTGGCTACAAAGCCCAGGAAGGGGGGTGGGTGGGGCCTGGACACCAGTGGGCAGCGCAGTCACCGCTCAAGCAGAACACGGGATGCTTCTGCTTACGCCTCTGAACGCGCATACCGGCAAGAACTGGGTCGCCTTTGAAATCGTCATCCCCACTCTTACTCCCCGGTGACTGTCCAGCAGCCGTCGTCGGTGGTTACCGTATTACGGAGCCTGCCTGGTTACTTCAGCAGCTGTGGGAGGGAGGAGGAGACGGGGCTTTGTGCACATCAGGAAGCCTCTTCACTGTTACCAGCAACAGTGTGGGCCTCCGGGTGCCCACCTCCACCCCAGTCCCCGCCCGAGCTTAAGAATGCGGGCGTCTAACCCGCTCAGAGACACTCAGCAGATGGAAGGATTCGTTTCTCTGTCTTCCAGTCCCTGGGTGATGGGAGCAGCGATCCGACCCTGTGTTCCCAGAAAGGAAGAGGTGCCCACCTGCCCCGTTCCTTCGCAGCTGCATGTCGGGGCATGGCGCCTCCCCCCGCCCCAACCCCCATGCCCATCTGCCATTTAGGGATGGAAGCGTCCAGAATAAAGTATCCTCTAAAACCTCTCCAAATGACGGCCAAGTACCGGCCCGCACCTTCCAGGGAAGTTCCATCCAAAATATGGCTCAAAGCCCTTGAACGCACTTAGCATTTTTGCGGCCTGTTAAGCTAAATGACATGTATTTGTTTTGCTGTAGAGTGAAAAGAATTTTCCTCTTTTGCGTATTGTTGCAAGACATTTATTAAGAACACAAGGGATGACCAGCCGTGGTATTAACATTCTAACACAAATTCAGATGCTTGTGTTTTTCCAAGATCACAGCATCCTGGGGAAGACAACCAAGAAACCAACAAAAAACTAAGGCATCGTGGAGACCGTATGCAGGTCGTGCGTTCGTATTCTGTAACTGAGTATAAACCCAGGGCCGTGAAAACTGTATAATTTTAAAGCCCGATTTCTGTTCTCTGATAAAAAGGAAAGCAGTTTTTGGTTTCACGAACCGGTTTTAAGTCTGTTCACACTTTTTCCTGAACAGTTGTCCTGTGCTAATAAACTCTGGTTCTTGGCACCGCCCCCCCCTTCACGTGGCCCAAGATAAACCTAAGAACCCGGGAGGCCTTCTTCCCAAAGGTTCCGCTGCTCATGATACACAGTGCCACGTTTACCAGGGAGAAACAGCTTCCTTCCCATTCCACACTGACTCACTGGAAGGAAAAGTGGAAGACGGGTGACAAATCGGCGTTACTGTGTGCCTGTCGCTCATGGTGACAGCCGCGGCTCCGTGGCGGCCCAGGCCTCACGCCGCGCTCAGCGGGTTGGCCACGCGGCCCAGGAAGTGGAGGGCGGTGGAGTCTTGCTCATAAATGGCGAACAGGAACGGGCTGTTGAGGGTCACCTCTAAGGCCTCGGGCCCGTCAGGCTGCTGGGCGGACTCCGTGGGCTCTTCTCCCTCGTCTGCTTTTAGTTCGAAAAGAACGCTGTTCAGCACCTGCAAGGCAGCAGGTGTTGGGACGGCTCCCGAAGGCCCTCGGGGCCCAGCTGTGTAGTGCTGTCGCTGGAGGGCGTTTCTCCAGACCGTGCACGCCCCGCCCCTCAGTGTAGACGACCCCCACTCGGCCCAACCCACCTGACAGCTCCTCCCCAGAGTCTCTCCACTTCCCACCTTGCTGTTGCCATCCAGGGCAAAACCCCGGACCCTCGGCTGCGGGCCCCTGTGCTCGGTTCATCCCACTCACGTAGCACAGGGGCTCGTGCCCCCCAAACAGTGGTCTCCAAGGCCAGAACTGCAGCCCTTCTTCTCCCCAGCAGAGCGTCCAGGCGGCCCCGCTGCAGAGGTGCGTCATTCCAGGCAGCAGAGCCACAGTCTGCCTACCGCTGAGCGTTTCCCTGAAGCAGGTGGCCCTCTGGCAGGGCTGGCACTGGGCCTAGGGGCACTCACTGTCGTGGCCCAAGTCCTGGCCCTGCTGTAGGATCTGGGAGGGACCCTGAGGCTAGGCCAGGCTGGGCAGAGCCATAGAACACATGGGCTCTCCACCTGTCCCCAGAAAGCCCTAGAAGGCTCTGGTCACTTCTCTCCCACCCTGGGTGCACACTTACCTGGCCATGCTCTCCTACCCCGCCCGCCTCCCAGGAGCTCCCCCTGTGTCCCTCCTGTCCACGCCTCCCACCCTGCGAACCCACGGAATCTGCTCCGACACAGACAGACACCTCCCGCACGGTACCTTTCCGACTCTGAGCTGGTCGTCGCTGATTTTGCCCAGGTTCGCCTCCGCGCCCAGCAGGGTGGGCAGCCTGGCCTGGGCCAGCAGGTCCTGAAGGTCATAGGAGCCTTGCAGTGTCAGCTGGGGCATGGTCAGGCGGATGGTCCTGGGAGGGTGACACACACTTAGGGAGGTCCCGGTGGCCCCCACCGTGAGGCCCTGGGCCCCCCTCACCTGGCTAGGCCATCTGGGGAAAGTTTGTCAGCAGCAAACATAACAAGAAACTTCCGTGTCCTTGGGAATACGGTGAGAAGGGCATACATTTAACAGCGGTGCTCTCTGGGTGTTTGTGGACAGTCTATGCTTCCGTTCTGGGTTTACTTTGGCTGCACTGAAGGTGTATCACCTGGAGAACTTTAAAATGCTATTCTCTGAAATAATGCATCCTGTCTTACTAGCTACTTTTCAGTGGTGTTCTTGACATAGAAACCCCCCACCGTCGGGGGGTGGGGTGGGGAGAGAGAGATAGGAGGGATGTCCTGTCACTCTCAGTGGTGGGCACGTTCCTTACATCAGCTCAGTTGACCTTCCTTTGGCATCCCTGAGAGCCCCTGGATGTTTCCAGTGACGTACCAAACCCTCACAAGAGGTGACAGTGGACCCATGTCCCTAGTAGCATTATTCACGATAGCCAAAAGGTGGAAGCAGCCCAAGTGTCCACTGATGGATGAAAAGATACACAAAGCACGGTCCATCCATATAATGGAATGTTAGCCTCAAGGAGGAAGGAAATTCTGACGCAGGCCACAACGTGGGTGAACCCTGGGGACAAGATGCTAAGGGAAATAAGCCAGTCACAAAAGGACAAACACCGTATGCCTTCACTCCTCTGAGGTCCTAGAATAGACACATTCAGAGACCGGAAGTAGAAAGGTGGCGGCCAGGGGCGGGGGGAGGGGGAATGGAGAGTTAGTGTTTTTTTTTGTTTTGTTTTTTGTTTAAATTTTTTTTCCAACAAGCATTATTTTGGGACAGAGAGGACAGAGCATGAACGGGAGGAGGAGAGGGGAGACACAGGAATCGTGGGAAATAGGCCCAGGTCTGAAAATATCAGCTCATGAGTCCGACAAGCTCCAACTCACGGATCATGAGATCGGCACCTGGGCTGGAAGCCGATGCTTAACTGACTGCGCCACCCAGCATGTTTCCTGGAGAGTTAGGTGTTTAGTATCAACAGTTCCAGTCTGGGAAGAGGGAAAGATCCTGGGGATGGGTGGCGGTAAGGGCCACGCAACAGTGTGGATGTGCCCGCGGCCCCCAGTGGCTCTAAAAAGAGGTCACGGGGTAAACGTTGTGTATACCACCCACCACAAACCAAAATGATTCAGAAGGAGAGCTGACCTCAGGAGGCTGACCAAGCACCTCCCCTCGGCCAAGTGCCTGTCTCGGGGCAGACCTGGACCCCACTGTCTCTGGGCGCCTCTGGGTGGTAGGTCATGTAGCTCTAGCAGAGAATTGCTTTCCCCACAGAGGAGGGAGCAAACCAGGGGCCTGTGGGGTCAAGGTCATTCTTTCGAGAAAAGCCCCTCCGGTCTCTCGAAGGGCAATGAACCCTTCTGGGGAAGTCAGCCCCCCCACAAGCTCTTGGATTGCAGTAGATTGTGTGTTGGAGGATGAGCTGGGGTGGCATCAAAAGGCAGATTGAAATCGCCATCCAAACCAGCTGGTGAGCTACAAGCCCGGAGGAAGGCGTGGCCCCACTCTTCCCCGAAGAAGCTTGCAAACCCAGACACATTAGTGGGATGGCTGGAGGGGTGATGGGGGATGCCCAGGCCCCTCCAGCCCACAACAGCAGGGGCTGCTCATCTGCCTCTTTGCCCACCCCACCCTCCCACCAGCCTCTCCTCCGGGCTTCCAGGGGAGTACAGCAGCCCCAGAGGCAGTTCTCGGAGCCACTGGGAGAGAGATCTCTTCCCAGCCATCACAGTTGTGCTGAAGCTGAGGGTTTCCACCTTGCTGCAGGCCCGACATGCACTGGGTGGCTGCACCAACAGCAGGCAGGCTGCCCTGCCCAGGGGCACGCTCATGGAGATGTTGTTCTCCCAAGGCCAGCCTCCAGTGCTGGAAGGTGCCCCGCGCTCAGGAGCATGGGGATTTTGGCACTGGTGTTGTCCACCCAGAACCCTGGAGCCTCCAGCAGGAGAACCCTTCCAGTTTTCCCATGACCCGGACGAGACAAGAGGGGAAGGGTCAGCTGGGCAGGGGCAGCAGGAGGGCGGGTTCGATCGGGTGTCATTGAGCAGGGGTGGGGCGAGGCCTGAGGGTGATCCCGGAGGGCGCAGCCCGGCAGGGGGCATTCTCCTCACCAGCCAGCATCACCAGGCCCCACGCCCCAGGCCCGCTCAAGTCCTCCTTCTGCAGATCGCTGTGACGCCAGACGCCCAGCGGTGAGACGCTGTACCCACAGCCAACTCCTGACTTTAGACCTGTCACTTTAAGGCCCACAAAGGAAGACGGAGAATGGAGGCACCTTCCACCACCACTTAGGAGGACCTCACCCCAGATCTGCCCTGGCCCAGCCTGTGGGCCGCCGTGCTCACTTTTTTTTTTCTTTTTTTTTCTTTTTTTTTTTTTAGACAAATTCAATTGTTAGTCTACAGCAAAAGCTAGAGGAAGGTATAGAGATTTCCCGTGTCCCCCCCCCCCCCCCACTCCCCTGACACGCACAGCTCCTCCCAGCCTCATTCCACACCTCCCCCGCCAGGGCGGGGACATCCTCATGACGCTGATGAAGCTTAATACACGGACACATAGTCAGCGACCCGTGGGTTGACATCAGGGCCGGTGAGCATTCTCTGGGTCTGGACAGACGCGGCAGTGACCCATCCACTATCACTGCCAGCTTATCCAGAATAGGGTCACGGCCCGACACGCCCCCAGTGCACGCCATTTCTCCAGCCTCATGAGAGCAGGGCCGGCCGTGACAGAGACCCTTTCTCAAGTCCTAGGACGCGGAGTTGAGCACACACCTCCTGTCACGAAGGCTCTGACGTCTTCAAATTTCTGAAGCTGCCAGGGGCTTCTACCACTCCGGGCGTGACCAGTGGCTCTGAGCAGAGGCGCTCCGTGCAAGCACCAGGGGAGGGTAAGGGTGAGTCTGTCACAGAGCAGCTGGGGGTCTGAGTAAAGGCAGCTTCAAAAGCCACGGCTCCCTTTTCTGGGAACAGAGGTCTCCGAAGTGGAGGGGCGGGGGCTGGAAGGACAAGGGTGCCTTCCCAGGGCCTGGGTCTGGCAAGAAGGGACCGCCAGACCCAGCCTCTCCCTCCCCCTTTGTAGTCGGGCCTTGGAGAGACAGGAGCGACAAGCCGTGGTGTCCTTCCTCCCAGGCTCCCCCAGGCCTGGCAGGGGACTCGTTAGTTCAGGGGAAGAAAAGACTGACTCTTTTCCCACCAAGACAGAAAGACGTGAGACTCTGCACCGGAGGCGGCTGCCCGGTCCCGTCTGCTCATCTGAAAAGCACAGCACACCGTCCTCGTCCAGAGGTTAAGTAAATCCCTCAAGGTTAAGTCAGCTGGCGTCGTGGAACCTGTCAGGGCCAGCACCCAGCTTGGGATGACAGCAGGGCCTGGGCAAAGGGTGCCCTGGAGCTCGCGGGCTCCCAGCCCCCAAGTGCTCGCCAGTTGGGAACGTGCACCTGACCTCCGCTCAGGCCACGGTAATAAAACGTCATTGCCAAAGGGGAACACAGAGCTCCCAAGACGTAAGTGGACGCGCCGTGGCGGACAGGTGCGTCTCTGTTGGATGGAAACTGAGGCACAGAAAGGTCAGGGAGGGAGAATCAGAAGCGGGGATGTGGTGGGGCTGGGTGACCATCCAGGGCGTCGGAGTCCTGAGCGCAGTTCTGCTTTTCTCTTCGTGGCTTTCCTCGCTCCCCTCTTGTCCAGCCCCATCATGTGAACGCGTGCACGGGGGCCTTTCCAGAATGAGTCCCCGTTTCTGGCACCTGCGGCTCTCTAGCTTCGCCTTTTGGGGGCACGACTTCCTCAGTGAGCTCTCCTCCTGGGGCTCCTCTTAGGAATGGCGAGCTGAGCCCACGAGTCCCCTCTGTCCTCCGTGGGGTGTGGCGCCCCCCCCCCCCCCCCCCCCCCCCCCCCCCCCGGCCCCCCGCTCAGCTGGATGGCCCCAGTGCTGGACTCTGTTCCCACGACCTGTGAGCACTGGGACCTGAGCATTCCCGGGTCTGCCGTCTTCCTCCTGCACCCAGAACAGGCTGGAGGTCCTTCCCCCTTGCGGTTTACAGGCTTCCAGAATGTTTTCAGAGTAACAAAGTAGCCATGCTCTGTTAAACCTCTCTCTCTCTCTCTCTCTCTGGCTCCGGTTTGGCTGCTTGCTCGCTTGGCTCGCAAACGCACCCTCCCCGGCCCCTCAGTTTGCGGAGCCACTACCTTAGCATGTGCTCCCGGGAGGGTTTGCCTGCCCCGTTGAGCAGCCTTCCCGGGATTCCCCCCACCCACCCATCCACCCTGCCTTCAGTGCACATGGCACAGGCCGCCTGGGCGACCTCTGAACAGAACGCTTTGCCCGCCCCAACACCCGCCAGCCTTCCCAACGTCAGATTCCAAGTCGGAACCCGGCCCGTCTTTCCGGCCCCGCCACGCTCGCTCACTCCCAGCTCTGGCCAAACAGAGCCGCCCTTGCCCTGGTTCCTGGCCCCGAACTCGCTAGCCTTTGCTCACATGTTTGTTCTTCTCCACTGCAGCCCCGCTCCCCGAGCCGCCCCCAGGCCTCTGTCCTCTTCCCCAGTGACCCTCCCTCCTCTGGGTGCTCAGCGCCCCAGATACCTTCCTCGGGCACTTTTATCTGCAGCTCTGTAGCCTGGGCATTCGCCTGTGGGACCTAGCTGCCCTGTTGAGGCTCGAATAGGCAACCTGGGATCGGGACGTGTGCGTTCTTCCTGCCTGGCCCCTCGGAGACGCCCCACTCGGGGAGTTTGCATGTGAACCTCTTCCGTGATTATATATTGAATGAGCGAACTGTCTTCGTAGGGATTTTTTTGCGGGGGAGGAGGGAGTAATGGCCCCTCCCAATATGAGAGGGATTTAAGCAAACAAACGGGCTATGTTTGCATGGACATTGACCTTCTCAAGAGACAGGAACCCCTCCCTCCTGAGCGTAGAGCTGGGCCCCAGGGCCAGGAGGTGGGGGCTTGGGTCCTGGGACACCCGCTCGTGCCTGTGCCTTCTTGAGGAGGCCACCGCGTTGCTGTTTTTCCCTCTAGGGGCAGTAACACCTCTCCACCACACCGCCAGGGGATTGAATGGGAAAAGTAGAAGGATTTACTTTAGTAGCTGCACAGAGTAGGGCAGCAGGTAGGCGGGCCGATAGTTCTGCCTCCTCGAGAGTGACTCCTGGGTGCTCCCTCACATGCGCCACCCTGCCCTTCTCCAAGGCCTGGCCCTTGCTGAGCTGAAATGTTGGGCGTTACAGCCACAGACGCAGGGAACTGTCACCCTTTGGAACCGGCCCGGGGGGAAGAGCCCACCCCACCCGCAGGGTTTGTCTTACCTTGGAAGCGGACATAGGTGTTGAAAAGTAGGGTGCTGCCCGGGCCGACTCCTGACAGGGGGCTGTTCATTTTCCACCCCGTCACTGCCTGCGTGAACGCGTTGATCTTCTCGGCAGCAAGATCTGGGTCCGTGGACAAGTCCAGAGAGCGCTCGAGGGTGATAGGGGCAAAGGGAGCCAGGCCCCGCACAAATGGCTCCTTCAGGCGCAGGCCGGGGGCTGTGAACAGGCCCACCACCGTGGAGAGGAGCAGTCTGGGCTGGCCGCTGGCCCCACCCTGGGCGACCAGAAGGCCCTGGATGGTGTGCAGGGCAGAGAGGACCTTGTGGCCATCCAGCCGGGACGTGCAGCCCTGAGCCTCCCCGGGGACGCCCAGGAACGCCTGCAGTCTGCTGGCCGTGGGGTCCAGGGCGCCCAAATAGAAAGAGGCCAGGGTGCCAAAGAGAGCCGTCGGGGACAGGATGGCCGCCCCGCTGGCCGTGCTCCACGACTCACTCAGCATCCTGTACATGTGGAAGCCCAAGAAGTTGAGCATCATCCCCACCTTCGCCGCCCTCAGCCTGTCTTCCTCCTCCAGCCCCTCGGTGGCCAGCACGAGCTGCTCTCGGAGGGCCTCCTCGTCCACAGGGGTTGTCTTGGCCTGAATGGGGACCGGTGTGAAGGTCGGCTCTTTGGGCGCCTCCGCGTTGGACTTCTCCAGCTGCTCACAGCTGCTCTCGCTGTAGACGAGGAGGTGAAAGGGGTGTATGTACACCCGGTCGGCAGCGGCGAGGCCGGCCCAGGCCAGGAGGCAGAGGACGGCGGCCCTCAGGCTCGCACCAGCAGGAGCCATCGCTGACGGGGGCGCTCACTTCCGCGGACCCTGCAAAAATGTCCTCTTGTCAAGGGTGACAGTTCTACTCGGTGTGGAGGTGCCCTCTAGCCAGACTTTTAGCCGTTCCAACATTCCCTGCGATCGTTCAGTCCAGGAGAAATCTATCCAAGTCTACACACGTCGAAGAGAAGTGGTAAATTTCAAAGCTCTGGGGAAGACACCGCGCAGGTGCAAAACGCCGCTGTGGGCTGGGCTGCGCTCTCACGGGGCTCATTTTGGGGTGGGCTTTGTGTTTTGTTGTGTCTAATGTTTAAATTTTTCTTTTAACGTCTATTTATTTTTGAGACAGAGAGAGACAGAGCATGAACGGGGGAGGGGCAGAGAGAGAGGGAGACACAGAATCGGAAGCAGGCTCCAGGCTCTGAGCTGTCAGCACAGAGCCCGACGCGGGGCTCGAACTCACGACCGCGAGATCGTGACCCGAGCCGAAGTCGGATGCCCGACCGATTGAGCCACCCAGGCACCCCGGTTGTTTTGTCTAATTTTTATAGCGGTGGGGATGTCTTGGGATTAAGACCTCTGGAGAGTTTAAACAGAAATAGGAAATCGTCCGTGAAATCAAGGAAAAATGTTCACAGAGGTTTTCACAAAATACTGGAAGCACTTCTCTCCAAGGATATATGAGTGGCTGATATTACTTTTACGTTATGTTAATCAGTGATCTTCTGCTTCCATCAATAATTATATGTTTAATAGAGAGTAATACGGAAACACTCAAGCTGGTGTTTAAGGGACCACTTTCGGCAATAACGTATCATGATATTAAGGCAAAAAATGTTGTAAGCTATTTGTTGAAATCCCAGTCCCTCAAAATGTACTATACTTGGAGACATAAAGAGGTAATTTAGGTGAAATGAGGTCATCGGGGTGGGACCTACTCCAATCTGACTGGTGTCCTTCTAAGAAGGGGAGATTCAGGGGCGCCTGGGTGGCTCAGTCGGTTAAGACCGACTATTGATCTCGTCTCAGGTTATGACCTCACGGTTCGTGAGTGAGCCCCACATTGGGCTCCATGGTGACAGTGTGGAGCCTGTTTGGGATTCTCACTCTCTCTCTCTTTATATGCCCCACCCTCTGCTTGTGCACTCTCCCCCCCCCCCCCCCCGCCATCAAAAATAAATAAATAAACTTTAAAAAAAAGAGAGAGGAGATTAAGACACAGACACATCCAGAGGGAAGACACTGTACAGACTGAGGATGGCCACCTATCTAGAAGCCAAGGAGAGAGGCTCCGAAGAAGCCAGCCCCACTGACACCTTCATCTCAAGTGGGTAGCCGCCAGAATCGTGAGATAACATGTCTATTAAGTGACCCAGTCTGTGGGGCTTTGATATGGCCCCTAAGCAAAGTCATAGATTCACGCGCCCCTGGCTGTAAGTTTTCCCCTCGAAAACCAAACGTGGACCAGACTGCCGGTCTCTTGGAGGCCTCTTGGCCCCAGGGTAGGCGGTAAACCAGTTTGGAATACAAAACTAGCACACACAGGGGCACCTGGGTGGCTCAGTTGGTTGAGCGTCCAACATCGGCT